AAGAACTGTGATATATAGAAAAAGCAGATTGGGGCTGCAGGAAGATGATGCATTTTGCGTCAGACATGCTGCATTTCAGGTACTCATGTACTCATGGGATATTCAAGTAAAAAAGCTTAGTAGACAGATATGTGCATGTGACTGTCAATCAGAAGGGTTTGAGTCAAACAATAGTTATTTTACAGTACTTGAGATCACTCTCAATTCTTAGCGACATAGTTAAGGCCAAGGGTTGTATATGAATTGGTTTCCCATGACTGGCACAACAAATGACTATAAACTGGGCGACTTAAAATCTTGTTATTCTGGAGGCTAGAAATCTGAAGTCCAACTGTCAGTAGGGTTGGTACCTCTTGGAGGCTCCAAAGGAGAACCTGTTCCACATCTCCACACTGCTGCCAATCCTTGGCATTCCTTTATTTATAGATGCGTTACTCTTTTCTCCTTACTCACATGGCCATCTCTCATGTATCTGTGAGTCAAATCTTTCTCTCTCCTTTTTCTTATGGGGACACCAGTCGTTGGATTTAGGACCCACCCTAAATCCAGAGTAATCTCACCTCAATATACTTAATTACATGCTTCAAAGATTCTATTTTCAAAAACTGTGACAGTCAAGATACAAGGGGTTAGAGCCTGGATATATCTTTTAAGGGAACACAATTCAACCCATTGCAAGCAATTTCGTGGTCTTTAAGTTTTGTTATGTTTTAATTTCCTTATGTAGCAGCCATGACCAACTTTTTTCTATAGAGTTTATATCCCTCAAAACTGGACTTTCCAGTTTGTCCCTTTTCTTCTGCCTCTGAAAATATACACAAGGAGCCTAAAAAAAAAGAAAGAAAGAAAATTTTTTCTAAAATGTTTTTCATAATGGTTAAGAAGAAACACTGAGGCATAAACAATCAGATTGTAACAAATTAATAAAGTTACAGAATCTCACAAATTTCTTACATTAATGAATCCTTTTCTTACAATAATGATTCCTAAATGCAGCTTTTCAAATCTCATTTGAGATGGTAACTGGAAGTCATATTGACCTTTGCCCTCTCACTTTCCACTTGACACTGAGACTCACCAAAGCCCTCCTACACACATGTCCTCCCATTTGAGCTGAACTTTAACTGTAATTGCTGCCTGGGTTTACAATGAAAGCAGAATAATATGTATCTGGTGACCATTTGGGGTCTCTTTGGGCTCTGGTGGACTGATTCCCATTTAATTGAACTTCTGTTCCAACCAAGAAATGACATCCCCTCACAGATTTCATCATAATAGTCAAGCCCATGTAACAAGAATAACAAAGGTGAGAATATAGGGAAAATGAAAGAGAAAAGTAGAAAAAAGTTACTATTTTTACGAAGTGCTATCTACTCCTTCACATGTGTTGTTCTGTTTAATTCTTCCATCAATCTTGCATTCATTTTGTAGTTGAGGGAAATGGGAACTTAAATAGATTAAGCATTAAAATTTGTCAAATATCATACTTACCAAGAGGTGGAATCCCGGTCTATCTTAATCCAATCCCTAAATTCTACTTATTTTACTATGCCACTTTGTAAATGAAGTGATAGTTACTGAATAACTTTCATAGACCACTTATTATGATTCCTCACTTAATCTTGATAGCATTGTGTAATTTAGTGAGTATTATTATTTAGCATTGTGTTATTTAGTGAGTATTCCTCACTTAATCTTGATAGCTTTTGTGTTTTTTAGTATTATCCCAATTCAGCCAATGAGACAACTGATACTTAAGTAAAACAACTTGTATAAGCTATTTAGCTAGTAAATTGCAAGGCTAGGATTTTAATTCAGTCTTGCTCAACTCCAAAATACATACTTTTTCTGATTTTTGGAACCTTGGACCAAAAACTAAGGTAAGGATCCCAGGCAGAGCTATGAAGATGAAGGAGGCAGTGAGGAGAAAGGAACAGCGCTATGATAAAAAACCAGGAAGGAGAGAATTTCGATAATGAGAGGTCAGTCAATACTGCCTATCATCAAGCAATGGAAATGTTCCTTAGACTTGACAACTGAAAGACTACTGGCAGCAGAAACAAGAAGTGGTGAGAATTGGAGAGTGATGAGGGAATGGGAGAGTATGAGATAAAGCATCTTTAATCAAGGCTAGTTTAGAAGGTAAAAAGAGAGATAATGTGGGAAAGAAAGGGCAAAAGAAAGTTAAAGCAGGGATTTTCTTTGCTTGCTTTAGGAGAAAAGAGAACCTAAAAAATTACATGTTGAACTGATAGAGTTGGTAGAGATGATCAGGTAAATGATATAAATGAGAAAGAGAATGATCAATGAAGAGGTATAGAAATCTAAAACTCTAACATGAGATTAGGAGATTTGCCTTGATTAAAAGTGGAGAGACCATTTTTATTGAAACAAGAAGGAAAAAATGGGCATAAATGGAGATAGATTTGAAGTCAGCAGAGGGTAGAAGTGAGGGTGGGGACAGGAAGGTGAGAGTTCAGCCTTACTGGTCTTTCCAAAATCAGAGCAAAGTCATTTGCTGAGAAAGAGAGAGTCAGCAGGACTGGGAATTTGGTGACTATGATGAGAACACAAAATAAAGATCCAATAAACAATCCTATTAAGATTGAATGCTGTCATATATAAATGGCTTTATGATTTAACATAGTAGACACAAATGTTAACAGTTTATATAGCATAATAAGTAAAACTCAAAAGTCTCTGAAAGCAAGAATGTTTATTTTGAAGTGGACACATTTCTACCTGCACACAAACACACAAAACTTGAATTAGACATAGCCATACAGAACATGGTCTGTCAGTTACTCCCCCTCATAATAATTTACATTCCTCTTGCATCTATATTAATCATTTTTCCTACACAATGTTATCTTGGCAGTCCTTAAAAAGCATAAAGAATTCATGCTTTTATTCAATGCCATGTGCCAAATCATTTCAAATATATTTGTGTTCTGGAGAAGCTAATTAGACTTCATAGAAGCTAAATAGACTACAAAATACATAATGCCAGGTTGTTTATAAACAGGGGTTAGAGGATAGGAAAATCAGGCTGATCCTCTTAAAATCTTACTAAATGAATGTATACCAAGACCATCACTATCATATAAGAGCTATATTTCTTTCTAGTAATATTGTTCATAAACAGAACAAGTTTAAGAATAATAATTTATTTTAATAATGTTAAGATGGTTCTACGGTAGAACCAAGTCAGGATGTTGAAGATTATATAAGGTTAAATATATCTTTTATAGTAAATATTAACCCTAAAGTTCTGCCTGGGTCTAAAAATTGTTTTTAATTCATATTGTGTTTATAATGAACAGAGATACTTTGTTCTTTGAATAAGTTCCAATGAATTTAGCTCTGAAAGTCAAAATTTATTATCGCTCTCAAGGTTCCCTTTCAGTCACCTAAGCTGAAACTTTTCTTTCTACCTCAAGGAGATCAGAGGACCAGGTCTAGTCTGTGCATAGTAACAGGAGAAAGGCATGTATCATTTAGAAACCTTCCAGTCCTGAAGCACGGCACTAATCTGACATCAGTTTCTTCAATAGAAATGTTTAAGCAGCAAGAAAATATTCTGGTTTTTGGCAATCAGCAGATCAGATAGAAGAGTCTAGCAATACAACGAGGATGTGTAATCTGACATGATTAGACAAGGCTCTTTAGTACCAGAACATTCATAATTGAGACAAAGAAAGAGTATTAATAACACTTTCCTAACACGGCAGTTAGCCATTTTATATTTCCTTTCTTTAATCTTAGTGTTTTTCAACAAATCATGGGATTTAATAGCGTGTTTTGGCAGATTAGAGGATTTATGGCCCAGATGTTTTTTGTTCTAAAAATGGATTAGGGTGTAAAGTTTGCTGGAATCCATGGAACATGTTGAGGCAAGCCGGTCATTTTATGTGTGATTAGTGCCTGCCTTCTGTCTCACAGTCCCTCCATCTGTCACAATTCACCAATGGATCTGGTTAGATTTAGCCTCATGTCACAAACAAGTCCCTTTTCTGGGCAATTTCATATTACAGATTCATTTTATGCCATTTTATGCCCTAGTTAAAAGATAGGAAGAGAGAAAGATGAGATATTAGCTTTCCTTTAAATATTTGCAAAACAACCTTTGTCCATCAGTATTCAACCCTAAGATCATGCAGATCATCATATAATGTGCATCAAATAAATAAATGACCAATGTTGAAATTCAAATTAAGTTAAAAATCAATTTTGCTCCTTATACCCGTTATTCTTTAAATATTTTGGTAGTATGTTTTACTAACTATGGATTGTGAAACTGCGACACAAGCTGGCCATTTGACCATCTTGTTAAGAGTATGAATTAAGTGTGACTACAGTTTACAGAAGCCACAATTTCTTATCAAATAATTATAGGTGCTTGGTTACAGTCTGTGCTCAAAATTTAACCTCTTAACTATTACAAGTTTGTATCTACAGCAAACCAGTACCACCTGTGGTTTATTTCACCATTAAATGGGTTCGGGGGAAAATACATTTCTTTTAGTCAGTTAAAAATGATTTATTCCTTTTGTATATAAAAACCTAATCGTGCTATACACAAACTCTGAATTGGCCTTTCAAATACTCTCATATATGAGAGATTCAGTAATCATTGTAATAATTGATGCCTGTATCCTATGATAATGTTCAAATATTCCTTGCATTTAGATAGATAGATTTTACTACAAAATATTCAGATAACTAAAACAATTACTTCTTTCCAAATATTTGGAAACAACCATATTTTACCTATATATTATGTTTTATTGCAGATGTTTGAAGGCATGTTCATGTATGATCTTATGAATCAGTCTTTATCAATTTATTCATTCATTCACTTACTTTTGACAAATACCATGGAGAAATTATTATATGCTGGACACTAGCCATTACTCAAAAAAGAAGTAATATTTATGGCTAAAGGTTATCCTGTCAGTGCACTTGTACAAAACATATCCTTTAATCTGTCTCATTTTCAGGTTATTTAAATGACCATGATGCTGTCACCAAGGCAATCCAAGAAGCTCGGCAGATGAAGGAGCAACTTCGGCGGGAACAACAGGTGCTTGATGGGAAGGTGGCTGTTGTGAATAGTCTGGGTCTCAATAACTGCCGGACGGAAAAGGTCAGTTCATAAAATAACTTACTCTCCAGAAACACTTAATTAAGTTGCACGAATGCTTTTCTTTTTGTCTTACCATCTTACTGTCCTTACAACGATGGCTCTCCCTCCCTTTTTTCCCTCCATCAATACTGAAGGCCCCATGCCCATCCTAATCAAAACCATCTGGAAATGGGAAGAGTTATAATTCTCTTTATCCATCTCCAAACCTTACTGACAATGAATATCCCCTTTTATGCAACCAGCTTGCATTAAAATGAAATGGCATTTGAAATATTTGTCTCAGTAAAAGTTTTGCTTTACAGAGATGCTTAACTTGTATTTGGGGATGAGCTGGATTTAAAAATGCTGAATCTTCTTTAATCAGCATAAGCTTGGATGATACCCATGCTCATATTCTAAGTATTTAGGATCCTGAGCTTGTCATAATATGTTTCCAATGCAAAGTACTGTCAAGTGTTAGATGACTTCAGAACTGGAAAATGTTACTTTATCATAAAATAAATGTGCTTTTAAAAACTTGGGCATTATTATTATACCTAAGGCCAGTGAAACATCTGGATTTGTCTGAGATATAATGATGTAAAGCTCTTTTGTCTAAGCATACATGATATTTTATTTAGAAAAAATAAGTTATTATAGAATGTTCAGAATGATGCACTTTCTTTGGGAATATTTGATATGTTTTTAATTGAAAAATTTTTAAGTGTTACCAAATCCTCTTTACACAGTCCTATAGATTAATACAGTAGATAAGAGAAAAATGATCAGCTACTTAGCAGTAACTCGAAAGTTAATCATTATGGGAAGCTTTTGAGTCAAACAGAATTGTCCAGACTGAGCAGATTGCTAATTTGGATAGCTTTCTGGTTTCCCAGGTTTTATATGGAGTTTGATGTATAATCACTAAGAAGCTGGCAATCTGCATAGTGAAGGTGAAATGTATGGGTGTCCTGTCACAACTGTTGTTTCTCTGATCCTAACATGGGTAACAATTGAAGATGGGAAAAAATTTCAGTTCTGTTCTGTGTCCAAAGGGGAGAGCAAAGCATGGGTCAGTATACATCCCTTGCAGTCTTACAACATAAGATGTATGACATTGGTGCCGTGAGAAGGGCACAACATTTTTATAGCTAAGCCCCAAAAGGGAAGGGAAAAAGCAATGTGACAGCTCTAAGAAGGAATGATAGCAAGCATAAAGGAATTTATATTCAAATATTTAAACATTCTTGAAAGGATGCTTGAGCAAAAATTCCTTTTCTCTGCTCCCCATGTAGAAATGAGTTTAACACTCAGCCAGATGCTAATGCAAAGTGACTCAAGCTATTCCTCGCAAGCATAGCTAAATTGCCGTTATTTGTTAAGCGCATTGAATTCAGCTGTGGATACAGCAGTTGGTTGCATTCAGCAAGCATCTGTACCCTTTTTTTTTTTGTAATCCTCCAAAGCAGAGACAACTCTACCTATCTCCCCCCTCTCTTCCCCAGTGCTGGCTGGGAATTGTCAAGTGACAACCGACCAAATCCTTTTGGACAGGAAGCCTTCATCCTGAGTTCTATATACTTGCAAAACAGGCCTTGTGGTTGGATCAGGGAGCCCATTAAAAGCACTTTGATGGTATGGAAATTCATCTTCATGAAGCTCCTAGGCCCCTAAGCAGCATGCTGTTTAGCTGTGGTTACAGATCAGTCATTCACATCGGAGGGCAATAATTGTGCTGACGGCTTGTAAGGCAATGGAAGTACATAAAATAATCCTGGGCCCTTCACCATGGCACTGTGAGTTAATCTTCTCTAATACAGATCAGCTGTTGTTCTAACACATGACTTTATGCTGGCTCCGGTGACTCTGCACAGCCTTTTGATTAAGTAACAGGAGTGGAACCATCTGCATTCACTTTATGCCATACTTGTCCATTGTTAGGGGAACTTATTTCTCCTTCTTGTTCTACCTCTACCTTTATGTTGTTTCTCTAATTACCACCTCCTATTTGCATTACAAGAGTGAGAGTTGCCTCTATTGAAAGTTACTGCTACAACTTTCCTTTCTCTTTTATAGAATTATCTATGATACCTCCCAAAACCTGTTGGCTAATTAAGATGTCTATATTCTCAAGAACGTTATCATTCCCGAATTTCTTAACTATGTACTTTCAATGTAGTTGAATGACATCTTGAACTATATACAGTCTTTTATTTTTATGGGTTTTTAATGAAAAGCATAAACTATGAAAATGAAGCAGTTTTGTTATTGTAATAGCATGAGAAATTCCTATAAAATTCCTATAATGTGGAAGTGAACCTTTTCAACCAAAGAATCTGAATTCTCTTATCCCTTGTTACCCTACTAAGAATGAAAGTGAGATTACGGAAGCTCTTTTAAGCAGGTATTGCTACAGTTTGTAGTTGATTTTTCCTGTTGAAGTAACATGAGTGTCATATCTACAATATTAATCAGTGACAGTATTGATCTATGACAGATCTACGACTGTGTAACCCATGGGAGTGAGATAGGGAATGAGGTATTAATGTCAAATTTATATATTTTACTTAGTAATTATTTAACATCAGCACCTACTATGTATTAGGAACTGTGCTTTGTACTGCAGGTATTATAGTGAACCTGAAAATAAGACTCTGCCTTTATAGAACTTTCAGTTCAGATGAAGTTATCATTTTGAATGTTAACCATTATATATTTATGTATGTGAGCCCACATACAGAAATTGCATAAAGACTAAATTTTACTTAGCATATCAAATCAGTGGTGTATCTTGAGTTGACAAAGGTGTATACTTTTCTTCCATATAAACCAACATCTCTATGCATATTGTGCTGTTATTTTTCTAAAACTTACCTTTTTATTCGATTTTTATAATCACTCAACTTTATCCATGGCCAATGCATATGTAGATCAGTAATTGATTTGAGATTTTGCTTTGTTAATGAAAGGTATAAATAATATATGATAAATTTCTCTATTATTTTGTATGATCATCTTTTTCATATAATTTGAACTCCAAAAGACGGGAATTTTTCTGTCTAAAATAATACTTCTAATTCCCAAAAACCCAGAAACATAAGGAGTGAGGGAGATAAAACAGAAAGAAAGCTGGAAAGGAACTGGGAGAAAGGAAAAGGGGATAGAAAAGGAATTCAGCCTGGTGCTTTATGTCAGTCTAAAAGATGACAGATATCATGATCCGAGCTCCAGATAATTGGAATCTTGTAGTGGAGATCTGTTTTCTTGGGTACACAAACCTTATACACATTAACTTTTCTCCACATCTCAAATAGCAAACATGGTTGTCTCAACTAGAAACTCTTAATTCTGAAAAGCAGTAATTGGACAGTGAAAACAATTAGAGGTGTGAAGATAGGGATGACTGTTTTTCCAGTAATATGTACCAAAACACATCATGAAAGTCATTTTTACTGAAATGCATTTTAATTGAAGACTTCTAAAAGATTTTTTTATTTCTTTACTTTTCTTGGAAGTGTTTCAATGTACCCAAGAACTGTGTATGTCAGGTTTCTTAGAAACTCCGGGACACAGTGTTATTTATAATTGTCATTTCTAGTTAATTATAGACTGATTGTATATTCAAATAATGTTATCTTTTACCACATAGCTCTGTTACAGATTAGTGTCATGGATGAAAAGGTAAACTACTCAGGTGTGAAGAAACTGAAAGAAGACTATCATACATTTGTTTTATAAAACACACACACTTAGGTTTATTACCACCCAAACGGCACAATTTTGTCCATACAACCAACTGCATACTAGGTATTTGACCTTGTGTTTGAAAATATCCACACCTAATAGGAGATCACAGAAAGCTGTTTTGTTGTCCTGATCCCACCAGGCAGTGTTAATTCAATAGAGATCCAGTATACTCAACTGAAATGTGGAATAGACCTGAAGTTTACCAGTTTATATCACTCACTCTAAATATAGTTGTCCTAGGAAGACTGTATGCTGTAGTATGTTCGAAATTGATTTCACAACATTCATCACATAATGAAGTTCAGGAATAGAAGGTTGGTGGCATTAGTTCATCAACTCAATGATATCAGGGCTGAAATCTCTGTGATTCTCCTGGCTTTTCCCTTTGGGTCTCAAAATGGTTGTTGCACCTACGACTATCACATCCACATGAAGATGAGCAGACTGAGAAGGGAGTAGTTTTTTCTTCGCTAACTTCAGTCTTCATTCCTATGGGGGTATTTCATTCCTTCTCTCAAATTGACTTCCACAAACATCTCATTGACTAGAACTTGGATATATGCACATTGTTAAGACAATAACTGGCCAAAGAAACAGACAGTACTTTAAATTGATCATGAATTATTTTCTGTTACCAAATTAGAGAACTAATCCTGTCTTCCCTGAGATCAAGGGATATCTTGAGATCAAAGGTAATATTAGCAGGGAAGAAAAGAAAGACAGAAAGGCTATTGTGTAGGAAAAGACAGCCACAACCACATTATAAAAATATCAAAGCTGTCAAATATTTTCTTCGTGAAACTAGTTTGTTTTGTTTTATAATTGTTGTCATCTATCTATTTTTTTGCTCCACTATTACATGTCCAGGGCCTTATACCTTGTCTACAGTTCATAAAGAATTAAATGACACACAGCATGAGCATAAGACAATATTGTTTGGTGACAGATTGAATCCATAAAAGTATGTTCATATACATGCTCTATACATGTTAAGACCAGCTTCTGTATTGCCTGTCTTATGTAAAACAGATGTCACTCACAGAAATAAGCGTGCAAATGTGTACACATATTTCTTAAGTTAGAAAATTTTTTCACCAAACATTGATTGCCTACAGTGTACCTGGAATATAAATAGATATACATGCTATGATTTCATCTATAACTGTAAATAATGGCTGGGAAAATGTTTTACTTTTTCTTCTGAACTTCAGTGAATATTCTTTGCAAATTTCTATCAAATAAGATGAAAATCTGGTGAATAACACGTGTACTTT